AAAAAAAAAGGTTTGTGTTGTTGGTCTATTTTCTCAGCTCTTCCTGAGGCTTCAAGTGCTTTAAACCTCTGTCTCCTATAAGGAATGTTTGTGCTTTTCTGCTTGTGATTCTATCACTCTAATTCTTGGTCTTGACCTACTTCTTGGTTGCCTGCTAGTCACAATGGAAAAGTAAGGCCTAGTTAAGTGAAACCCTGCCCTCCACCATTGTGCAGCAACAGAAGATGGCATGACTGTATTTAAATAAATATAGATTGTTGTACATGAAAAAAAATCCCTGAAAATAAGCCCTAATGCTGTTTTTGGAGCAAAAATTAATATAAGACCCTGTCTTATTTTCAGGGAAACACGGTATTTGGCCTAAAATGAAGTTAAAAATAAAGCCGCATGTTATTTTATATGACTTTGGAGTTACAGCCTGTAGCTGGCATTGGATCTCTTCCACAATAACCCAGGAGACTATTTCAACAATGTTGTTCTTCCCCAGTCAAAAGGCAAGAGATCAGGACCCTTTCCAGTTTGTTCTTCTGTCGAAAGAGCACAATGAATCCAGCTCATACAGGGTTTCCCTCCACAAAGCTGTTAAAGTAGTATTGCATTGTATTAGCAGACTCAGGAACCAAGCTATGATGAGTATCTAGCCAAAAATAGTGCTGAATTTATCAGCATTTTGGGGGGAAGCCCAAGCTTTGCAAACGCAGGAAACAAGTTTGCAAATGCAGGAAACAAGTTTGAAAGCAGGGGTAACCCACCATATGTTGCTGGGCTGTAATTCCTCATTGGCTATGTCCAGCTGAAGGGAGGTGCAGCCCAACAGCATCTGGATCAGAGGTGGCTCATGGAGTTGCCCCATCCCAGAATTTTAGGGGAACGCCCCCCATTCTGGTCACAAACGGTGTCTAGGGATCCACTTTGCTGTCACCTGCTGGAGCTGACTATTAGAATACAGAGAAGTCAAAAATACCAGTAATTGCTTAATGCAGTCGTTCACAACCTTGGATTCCCAAATATTCTTGGGCTACAATTTCCAGAAATCCTGGCCAGCACAGCTAGTGGTGAACGTTTCTGGGAGTTTTAGTCCAGGAACATCTGGGGAGCCGAAGTTGGGAACTACTAGCTTAATGGAAAGCAGTCTTTACTAAAAGGAACAAGCTGCAGTGAAGTATCTTGTTGCAAGTTCCATTGCACATTCATATTTTGAAAGGCAGAAATTAATTAACCTTTTAATTACAGGAGATTTATGTTTCACTTGCTTTTTCTTTCAAAACTAGAATTTACTAACTATAATTTTTGTCCTCTTTACTTCTATCTGCCGCCAATGGTCTACAATCCTGGCACTACATAGGTATTTGCTTCTTAGAAATTTAAATATAACAGTGGAGTAATTTATTTTCTTGTTTTCAGATGTCTGCATGTGAAAAATAGAGTAATTTTACAAGGCTTTCCCTTTTTACAGCTGTCCCTTTCATGTGACATCTAAATTAATCTCATTTCAAAGTTAATTTAACTTTCGAGACTTACATACTTCCCAAAGTTAAAACAGATTCTGTTGTATTAAATAATTCCCATCCAAACAGACATTTTTGTGTGATGCTATGCAGAGTCCATATATAGGTTTGGAATTGAACCCAGTGTCAGTCCCAGCTAGAACAGATATGTTGAAATAAGTAAGCTATATCCAATTTAATTCAATGGGTCTTCTCTAAATGGCACTGACATGGAATCTGAGCATTTATATCCATACAGTTCTAAAATGAACTGCATTTTGTAGATGCAAAAACAAATATATCTGTTCAAATCTTTGTAAGAGATTTTTAAGACTGGAAGCATAAAATAATCTGGAAAGTACTATGTTGGTAGCTTTACTCAGTATCTCTGTTGTATTATCCAAACCATTAAAAATGAAATAACATAATTTAGTGTATGTAGTATTTCCAGTGCATGGATCAGTGAAGGACTGGTGGATCCCTTGCCAGCCTGCATTGCAAATAAGACTTTTCTGTCTCAGCAGTTTTGCTGTTAGATAGCCATAGGAGTTATTTTGCCAAATGCTTTAACTTGTAACATATTTGCTGTTTTTGTGATTTTTTTCCAGTGAGTTTACCTGTGCGTTCTTTTCAGCATCAAAGCATTAAATCAGGAAAATTAAGATACCTTGAATTTTATTTATAACTTTGCTAATTGTGAAAATCCCAAAGAACAAACTTTAAACTTCTAAGAACTGTGGAATTACTTAGAAATACACACTCAAACCCCTCCGTTCTTTACAGAGATAGAATTAAATCTTTCTCTTCCCCAAAAGATAGTAACACACGAGAATACAAAACACATTTAGGCAACATACTGTTAGGATCAACCAAAATGCAGCAAAGTGTGCATACTTTCAGATTTGAGGGACCTCTTCAACATTCTATTACTGAAGACTTTCCTTTTTGGACAAGTATTTCCTGTTTATTTACAGTGCTCTGTAAAAGTTTCTTAAAACTGTTTGAAGTTAGCAGCCTTTTTAGTTTGTGACATGTTGAATTATATTTCAATATATAACTCATTGCTTTTAATTGTGTCTATTTTAAAATGACTTGGTTGCCAGTGGCATAACTTTCTGTGGTATTTTGCCACAATGTAAGAAGTTGACATTGGCATTTCCTATAACCGCATGACTTGGTGTGCAATAAGAAATGCCTTCTTTGACAATTATGCTCTGACAATGCTCTAACTACTGGTAATTCACTGCTGAAGATTATACTGTAAGATTTCAGCCAATAATTATTACTGTGACAACAAATTAAAACAAAAGCTGTTTACAAACAACTTAATCACTTGATCCTCCTGTTCTATCACTGTAGGCTCACGTGAACAACATAATCATATGCATATCTACTTAGAAGCAGACATGCATTCTGCTAGGCAGCATCTTACTGAGCTTCCACAGAATAGAATCCCACCCCCCAATGTAGTGATGGTGACACAAATCTGTCCTCCTCTGTGCAATGCCAACATTTGTGAGGAACATGGTCTTCCATCAATCCACTGGCAATACTTTCTGCTCAGTTGAAATCTTGTAAGAAATTGGCCATGGACAGCAATGACACTCATCCCAAGAGAAATATGCTTAGGATTCCAGCCTTACTCCTCCAACAGAACTGCCCTCAACTGAGTGTTATAGTGACTCTATCATGAACCAGTGTGGTGTAACAGACAGAGTGACGGTGGGCTAGGACTCAGTACTGTTGTTGTTTAGTTGTTTAGTCGTGTCCAACTCTTCGTGAACCCATCGACCAGAGCACGCCAGGCCCTCCTGTCTTCCACTGTCCCCCAGAGTTGGGTTAAATTCATGTTGGTCACTTCGATGACACTGCCCAACCATCTCATCCTCTGTCGTTCCCTTCTCCTCCTGCCTTCACACCTTCCCAACATCAGGTCTTTTCCAGGGAGTCTTCTCGTCTCATGAGATTAGGGTTGCCAGATGTCAGGCAAAAGGAGGACATGTCCTCCTTTTTAGCCTAATGTCCTCCATCAGGCAGGCAAAGATAAAATGTCAGGCTTTTGTATATTTTATGTTATAATTTTGGATGGGAGGGGGAGAGGTGGAAGGACCCCCTTCCCCCTGGCTTTCCCCTCCCCCACCTGCCCGCCCACCCCTGGTATTTTGAAAAAAAAAAGCCTCAATTGAATTTATTTTTAATTTTTAACACGACTGTTTCTTGGTCAGTTCACTAAGAGACATTTATTTGGCAGCTATTGTACTAATGTTGTATTGATTGTGGGTTTAAAGTGGATTCAAATGAAACATTCAATATGTCCTCCTTTGTCCTCCTTTTTGTCTTTCTATGTCCTCCTTTTTGTCTTTCTATGTCCTCCTTTTTGTCTTTCTATGTCCTCCTTTTTGTCTTTCTATGTCCTCCTTTTTGTCTTTCTATGTCCTCCTTTTTGTCTTTCTATGTCCTCCTTTTTGTCTTTCTATGTCCTCCTTTTAGTACCCGTGTATCTGGCAACCCTACATGAGATGGCCAAAGTATTGGAGCCTCAGCTTCAGGATCTGTCCTTCCAGTGAGCACTCAGGGTTGATTTCCTTTAGAATGGATAGGTTTGTTCTCCTTGCAGTCCAGGGGACTCTCAAGAGCCTCCTCCAACAGTACAGTTGGATTCAAATGCCAGCTTGGGCATGGTAACTCGCTGGAGTGTGTGTGTATGGGGGGTAGGTAAAACCGCAGCTTATATATTTCCCATAGCTTGGGGATTCTATTGGGGATTCCCAGTGTGGTGTGGTGGATAGAGTGATGGACTAGGACTCTATAAAACAGGGTGCAGATTCCCATTTTGACATAGAAATGGACTGGGAGAGTGGGACTGGTAAAAACACTCCTTAAATACCTCATTTACCTTGGAAGCCCTATTAGGGTCGCTAAAAACTCGATTGCGGCTGGACAGCACAGAATACAGTACATACTGTACGTATAGGTTGAACATGACTTGACAGCCCAGGAGAAGCAGAGGATGCTATCCCGAGTCTAAAACAAGCTTTCTCCCAGTTTTTAACACAGAGAATGGGGCAGCAGGCTAAAAACGAAGAAGAAACACTATGGCATTGCTTTATTGATGATCCCATTTTTTTTTAGAGTTGGAAAACGTCAAAATCGGATTGAGAAGGAGAATAGGACTCTCAGAGAGACCTGGAGGGAGAGCCGCGAGAAGGAAGGGCTTGGCTGGCCGGCCCGCCACCCTCTTTTTGATCGCTTGGCCTCTGAAGCACGCGGAGCGGCGCCCGCACTTTTCCCGTCGCGCCACAAGCCAGCGGCCTCCTGAAGGAGCCCGGCTGAGGCAAACAGCCTGCCTTCGCTTCGCCTCACTTTCTCCCACGCGGCCCCCCAAAGGCCCCCGCGGGACACCACCCCCTCTGTCAGGCGCGCCCATCCCTCTCAGAGCAAGGCGCCCGCTCACCCGCCCACCTCTGGGGCGGCACTTTAAATTCCCCGCGCGCTGCTCCGCCCCCTGCCACCGTGTCAGCAGGGGAGGGGCCGCCGGGCCGGGGGAAGCTGCGCAGGCGCCTGGTGGGGCCCTTGGCCGAACCCAGGAGGCAAGGAATGGGGAGCGTCGGGGCGCGCTCGTGCTGGCCGCCGCTGGCGTTCCTGTGGCTCTTCTTGTGCCTTGGGGGCCGCTTCCCCGGGGCCGAGGGCTTCAGGAAGCGAGGACCCACCGTGACCGCCAAGGTGAATAGAGCCTACGCTCCCCCTTCCTCCTCCTTCGCCGGGGCGGAGGCAGCTGTGCAACCCCCGCCCCGTCCAGGGACCTCTGGAAAGCCCCTTGTTCCCTCCGGCCCCTTTGCTGGGAAGGGGAGCCCGAAGCCTCACGGGGGGGAGAGGGAGAGGGGGAGGGGGAGGGGGGGGGTGGCAGGACGGACCTCCGAGGCCACCACCTTCCAGGAGTTGTTCGCACGGCTCTGGGATTTTGCCCCTCGGACGTCTCGCTGCTGGGCTTCGCAATTTTCACTTCTGCAAATTTTCCTTTGTGCCGGGCGTCGTCGTCTGGCCGTTGCAACTTTGGGGAGTTCTGCCTCTTACTTTTGCACAGGAACCCCAAAGCTGCTGCGGGGGTGGGGGAGGAAAAAAAAAAGTAAATCTACTTCTCTCCCTCTGTTGGCGGCGGCGACCTTGGGATGTGTGCTTTTAAGAATAGCAGGCTGTGCAAGGAGTTTCCCTTCCCTTCTCCTCGGTTTTTTGGAAGAGGGATATTAGTGGCCACACGCATCCTGGTCTGGAGGGGAGTCGCCCGTGGCTGCCATGGAGGGGAGCAAGGCTGGCGAGGCACCCCAGGAGAACCACGGGCTCTCTGTGTAATATTTGTAATGCAGGCTGGCAAGGGATCCACCAGTCCTTCACTAATCCATGCACTGGAAATACTACATACACCTTCCATTGATGCCCAGCAAGGCGCGCGGGCCTTTTTGTAGGCCATGTTCGTCTTTAGATGCCTAGAATACACCTCGCCACATCCCTTAATATCTCAAAGAAAATATAGTGAGGAGAAAGAAATCTGGGAAGGAGTAAAGGTTTAAGCAACCTGAAAGGTTGAAGCCACAGCACCGTGACTACAACTTAAGTGTGTCTATGACCTAAAAGGGAAAGGTTGAAGCCACAGCACCATGACTACGACTTAAGTGTGTCTATGACCTAAAAGCAAACCTTTTCCAAGACCCTACCAGCATAATGAGGCTAAAGCAAACCTTGCTCAGTAAGAGCTGCGGCAGAGAAAATGACTTGAGTGCTTGCTCTCAACATTTCTAGTTGGTTCTGTTGTGTTTTTCTTTTAGCCAAAGAGGAAAGACGTGCATGCCTTGTAATCTGGAAAAGATTCGCTTCCAAGAACGTTTTTTTTCATGTAGGTTTAAAAATAGGAAATATGCTGAAAAATTGATAGGATCAGGTGTATGCACATAAAGAGTTCTTCATCTCCTAGTGATGAACGTAAGGATTAAAAGATAGTTACCTTCATCCTTTGGGAAAGCTGGTCCCCAAGGGACAGAGTCATTTCAGTGTGTCTGTATGTACCTTGTTAATCCCTACTGTGGAAAGGGAGTTTGTCAAGTTCACAAAAAATAACTCTTGTATGCAGTGTTCACTTCTCTGTACAACCTGCCCTAAAACTGTTATTGAAGATGATATGAAAACACTCGTACTTGTAAGAAGTAAATAGAGTAGTACAAACGGGATGAAGGTCTGTCCCTACCTTCGGTAGAAAGTTTCCCACAACTGAGGCAGAATAGTTCTGGTGTGCGCTGCTTTCCTTCCTGGCAGGTGCTTTCTTAGGTGGACACCTTCCCATATCTGTTAAGGTGTCGTCCCTTTTAGGACCAGTAGTGTATTGTTTTTCAGGATTGCACTCAAAGTCCACACAATTCACCCCCCTGGAAAAACATTTGGACAAGCTGTCCCTATATTTTAGGAAACCACACATGTACGGTGGATGACATCTCATGGACACATGTTGCCTATCTAAATTTTCTTCCCTTTATAGTCTGTGTACCCTCCTAGGGTGTGTGTGTGTGTGTTTTTCTTTTTTTCTTTTAAAGAAAGGTGGTTCCCAACCTTGAGTAACCCAGGTGTTCCAGGACTGCAACTCCCAGAGACCCCAGCCAGCACAGTTGGTGGTGAAGGCTTCTGGGATTTGCAGTCCAAGAATACCAGGGTTACCCAAGGTTGGGAACCGCTGCTTTCATAATATCTTACTGTCTTTGACATTAAAGCCTTGTTTGAGCAGCAGCTTTTAAAGTGAAATTATATACATCAATTTGAAGAAACACAGAACCTGTTTTCCCTTTCCTCAGACAATCTTGTATATCGCATGTGACATGGCGAAACTGTGTATTTCATTTTCTGTGCCCCAGCAGTAATAATCATTGGTTTGATGCAACAGGGTGAAATGAGCAGAGCGTTGGTGGCATAGTTATTCATTTTCTGCATTCACACTACCTTTCTATAAAGTGGCAGCAACTTCTTGTTTCTTGCCTTTTTACACCTAAACATTGCCTGCCTATCTGGATATGCAATGGTGTATGGCAGAGTGGATGCCAGTTGTGCAAATGTGCATCTCCTGGAATATGCAGATGTTTACAGCTAAGGAATAGAAATCTTATGGAAATCCTGCATACAGTTGTTCCTCCAGTATTTTAGCCAGAGCAAAAAAGAGGAGCGGGCAGGTGTGTTCCAGCATTTGACAATCTACAGACTTTAGGAGGGATTTTAATTCCCTTATAGATCAAGATGTTATAATAAATAGTGAGTTTCAATGGTTATTAGATCAGCAGCAGCTGATGAGAAACCCAGATTTTTCCTTTTAAATGGTCATTTAAAAGAAAGCCTGGAAAGATTAATTGATATATTTATGCTTCCTCCTACTATAAGTTAATGTTTGTGTCTGTTTTGGAGCATGTGCAATCAATTTGGCTATATTTAACCATCTGTGCTTATGAGCTCAGGGACCCCTACCTCTGACCCCCAGTTCTGAGAAATGTTTTTTTCCTGAAAGCTGGATCATCTCACTTCTTTGCCACCTCTCTCTTGTGTTTTGTTTCCCTGACATGTCTATTTTGGAAGAAGTGCTTTGGAGAGTAGGTACTATGAGATCAGCCTGGTATAAATCGTGGCCTTAAGTGCAGTAAAGGATTGACATTCTGGTATTAATTAACACAGATCATTCATCTCAATTTAATATTCCTCTGTGTTTTGCTTTCAAAGCAGTAGGCAGTCACTGAAGCTTGAATCCAGCTTAGTTTTATAAATAATGATTCTTTTTTTCTGAAACATGTAGAATTTGTTAGGTAAAGGCGGAAATTTGACTGCAGGGTGAATATTCCATAGATAGCACTGCACATTAGTACTGTACTTTTGAAGTTCACTGCTTTTATTACACAAAAATCTAACACTTAATTCAAATTTCCTGAGTGATGCAACAGATGAAATAGTGGTTCAAGTAAAACATGAGAGAAAGAAAAATGGAAATTATTTAAGCATTCCAATCTCAGTTTAAAAGGTGTTAAAATATCATTGTTAAGGAGGTTCTCAGCTTAAACATGTACCTGTTTCAACCCGAGACTAATTCATGAGTCTGTGCTTGTTCCACTGGAAAGTCAGATCCATTGTGTGCACAGAAATATTGCTCCTGTGAACGGAAAGTCATACTTGAATCCAGTCCAGTTTCCTTCATCCTATTTTAGTGGTGGTCTATTATACTGGAAATGATTCATCTTTATTTCTGTTTTTTTCTTCCAGGTATTCTTTGATATACAGATTGGTGGCAAAGATGCTGGAAGAATTGTAATTGGCTTGTTTGGGAAAGTAGTACCAAAGACGGTAGAAAACTTCGTAAAACTTGCAACTGGAGAAGTAAGCGCTTTATAAAAAGTCGTATATTTACATTTTATTGAAATCACAAGTATCTGCAGCTAACTTTACAAAACTGGATGGATGGTAAGAAATTAGTTGCCCCGCTTGTGATTGTGAAAATAGGAGTGCCAGACTTCTGCTTCCATTTGGAACTGAAGCAGGATTGCCCTGAGACTTTCATTGCACTCAGAAGCACACCTATACTACCTGTCAACCTTGTTCTAAAGGTTAGCTGTTCTATGGTGGAACAGGTTGCATGTATGTGTGTGTGTGTGTGTGTATAGATATAGATAGATAGATAGATACACACACACACACACACACACACAGAATGGTGCCTCGCTTAGCGATTGCTCCGTTGAGCGATGAAATCGCTTTGCGATGGACTTTTGGCCATCGCTGGAGCGATCGCTTAGTGATGTCCTCTATGGCTAAAATTCGCTTTGCGATGATCGCGGGCAAGCGATCATGGCAAAGCGAACTTTTTTAAAAAGCTGATCGGCGGTTCCAAAATCGCCGCCGCAAAAAAATTTGCCGCCGCTGTTTTGCCTCGCTGTAGAGGCACCCAAAATGGCCGCCGCTATGGAGGAATTTGGCTTTAAGGTAAGTTTTTAGCCCATAGGAACGTATTAAACGGGTTTTAATACGTTCCTATAGGCTTTTAAAAATCGCTTAGCGATGAAATCACTTAGCGATGTTTTTTCCGGAACGGATTAACATCGCTAAGTGAAGCACCACTGTATGTATGTATGTGTGTGTGTATATATATCTATCTATCTATCTATCTATCTATCTATCTGTCTGTCTGTCTGTCTGTCTGTCTGTCTGTCTGTCTGTCTGTCTGTCTGTCTATCTATCTATCTATCTATCTATCTATCTATCTATCTATCTATCTATCTATCTATCTATCTATCTATCTATCTATCTATCAAATGCATGCATGCATGCATTCATTCCTTTTGTATCCCTCTCCCATCAGTATCACAGCACTGCTCTGGGCAGGTTACAACTTGTAAAACAGAAAACTAAAATAAAAATAGAGATATTAAAACCAACAGCAATAACCCTAAAAAAACAACCCAGATGGTACTGACTTAATCCCAGAATGGATGGAGGAAAAGAGGGTAGGGAAGGAGGGGAAAGAAAGGAGGGAAGGTGATCAGTTGGGGTCGGTGTGAAAAGTCTCCCTGAAAAGCAATTAAGTTGCTTCCTAAAAGTCCACAGGGAGAGGGTATGCCGACGGAAGCTGGTAGCTGCAAGTAGGTAAGTAAAAGGATGCTGTGATAGATCAGTGCTTGTGTCTGTGGCACTATCTAATATTTATCTAGATACCTGGAAAAAAACACAAGGAGTTCAGAGTGGTAGGAACAGCTGCTTCTAACAACTATACAAGATAGGTTGGTCTGAAATATACCAAGCTGCCAAATACTGAGTGGGTAAATGAACCTGGATTTTCCTAGTGTATTATTCTAATACGTACAATGCCATTTTGCTGTTATTCTTGGTAAAGCAGATGGGTGTGTGTGGTAACCAACTACATACAGGTGCCTTTGGGGTTTAAGTAAGGAAGCACTGTAGTGGCTGTTACCTGAAGTTGCAGTGTGCAGACAGGTGCTGGCCCTACCTTGTCTTGGACCCAATTGCATATTCCAGATTCTGGAATCCTGAGCAACACAGTCCCACAGCTCCCTTCTGTATACTTTCTTCCTCCATGTGGGCAGGATGTTAAGTTGGCTTGTGTTACTCTTGTTTGTGGGATATGATTGTGGCCTACACTGAAGAAGTTGCTCAGTTGCTAGTTCACCCACTATTGCTTTACTTTATCAACCATTAATTGTGTCCATGTATGTAGCTATGAAAATGTATGGATTAATTAACAATATTAAAATGAATATATTAAGCAGTTAAGATATAGTGAGTGTATGTGGAGTTTTCTATATCAGCTATAATCCAAATGCTGTGCATCTTGACTTCCAGTTCATTGTTGCTACATTATGATGAAGGCCGGATACCGTTTTTGCTTTACAATTTTATTCTGTATTACCACAGTGCAAGAATATAGAAATCTTATGTGTAGTTTTTACACATTTTAGGATGCAGTTCAGCATTCATTTAACTAAAACAAATGCTATGGAGATTAAATGATCTTGCTTTGACTTACTTGTTCTGTGAACATTTAGTCCTATCACTTGTATTTAACTTAACAATGACTTACTAGCTGGCAATATTATCATTTTGAACTTTGTCTTTTAGAAAGGTTTTGGGTACAAAGGAAGTAAATTCCATCGTGTGATCAAAGATTTTATGATTCAGGGAGGTGACTTCACAGCTGGAGATGGCACAGGAGGTATGACTAGTTTCTCTATGAATAAAAACCACAAAACAGATGAGAACATGCAAGATTCTGGAGTCCAACTGATGCACGTTTAGCCAAATTAATTACTCAAAATAAATTAATTACTGAAAATTTGACCCTACATCAGGGGTGTGCACAACCTCCACAGATCTGAAGGTTATGTCCAAATTAGTTTTCTTTAGAAAGGCTTCAAAAACTGAGGGGGAAATTGCCTATATTTTCTCATACAAAAAAGTGTTTTTTTAAAAAAATGTGCAATATTTGGTGGGGTATGGGGCAGTGTCTAGCCATGCTTGCTGTCCACCCATGCCAAAGTCCCCTCAGAGGACATGCAGATTTGAAGTAATTTATTTAAAAAATAAGGGGGATGCTGGGTAGCCGCATGAATGCCAGGGGCCACATTTGGGTCCCTCGGGGGCATCGTGGCTTTTAGATTACATTTTTGCCCACCTGAGCTACATAGTGTACCATAAATCAATCTTCTCTCAATTATCATGTCTAAATAGGTAATTTTAATAGGGCAAGCAACTTAAGCGGAGTTCAGGCTGCAAAATTGAGCTAAACACATCTTTGCTGTGTCAAAAATATTATACCTGTAAATTGAAGGAAGAGTCCTACATATTTACTTGGGCCTTTGTATTCTTGAATTAAGAGTCTCCATGGAAACTGTCTACGGACAAACAGCGGCTCTACGGCTTGGAAACGGGGATGAGCCCTGCGCCCTAGAGTTGGACTACAACTGGATTAAATGTCAAGGGGAACCTTTATCTTTACCTTTAACATCATGTTCACTTCTCCCTACAGTTACTTGGGAATAAGACCAGTTGTCTCTATTGTCTGTTCAGTGCTTTGCACTAAAGACTTAAGTCATCATATTGAAAAATGATTTAGAAAACAAGTTGTCTTGATTTAGCTATGGTAGAAGTTAACTTCTGCTTGCACATTCCCTGCTCAGATTTGGCAATGAACTTTCTGTTGGGTGGCACTCTCAGGGTTTTGAAAACAGTGTTTATGAATCGAGTACTCAGGGGAATGTGTGTAACTGCCTGTGCCAATCTTTGTTAAAGAACAGCAGTGAAACCCAAATCCATTCACATTCTGTCTATGGGTCAGTGGTGCAAACTACCCTGTAGGATGTCCATTATTTTCACAAACCTAAAACTGGAACAGGGTGATATTAAACCAGTGTTGGAAGTTGTGCCCTTTTTTCAACAATGCATTTTAATAGATACACCAACAAAGGAACATTACAGATTTTCAGTTTCTCTCTTTGCCATAAAACGTGTGGCTTTAATGGTCCAGTTCCTAACTATGCTGTATGAAAGGATTCTTTTCATTGATGCATAAGATGCATCAATTCTGGTTGCTGATGCTTAGAGAGTGTCTTTTGGCCATCTTATTGGCAGAGGCAGCTGTGCAGGTCTGCACATGGTCTTGCAATCTCCAAACAAACACTAAGTTTTTAAATGCTTGGGTTTTGAAGTAGCTTCTTTGAAACTTTATGTTTTGTTTCCCAGGAATGAGCATCTACGGAGACAGGTTTCCTGATGAAAACTTTAAACTGAAACACTATGGTATTGGTTGGGTCAGCATGGCTAATTCAGGTCCACATACTAACGGTTCACAGTTCTTCATTGCTGTGACAAGGCCCAGTTGGTTAGATGGAAAGCATGTAGTATTCGGAAAAGTCATTGATGGCATGGTAAGTTAAAAATGTTTTTCTTCATTAGTTCAACACAGTCCTTTTGGTCGTGGGCTGCTGTGGTTCTGAAAACATAACTACTTCATTTTTAGTATATAGCATCTGCCTTACAGGTGTTTATGGATTATTGAACAAGTGTCGTTATACCTGTTGCAGAAAGTGAGGGACAGCTGCCTATTATTTTATTTTATTATTTAATTATTATTAGATTTTTATCCCGCCCTTCTAGCCAGGAGTCTACTCAGGGCGGCTCACAGTATATTGTGCACAAAATGGATTTTTTTAAAAAACACAATTAAAATCTACAATAATAATTTTGTCACACAGACAGCTACTTACTCAAATGGTAGCTGATCTGCCAGGTTCTGATCTGCCAGGTTGGCTGGAGCTAATCATTGGGAACACATGGATGACATCCTGGATGTGCTATTCCTGAGTATGATTTAAAGTACTACTACAGTATCTGCCTTTAAAGTCTATGTATCATGGGATGTGAGTAATAACACTGGATCCCACCATTACTGATTTTGAAACTGTGTGAATATTGTACTGATGGTTCTGTTTTAAGTTTTCATCAGTGTTTCATTTTGCTTGTTTAAGTTTTGTAGAGGAGACAAGAAGAATCATATTGGATAAAACCAAGGCCTGACTTAGTTCAATATTATACAGTACTGAGGCCCGTAAAGTACCCATCAGCGTGACATGAGTAGAACTACACCTGCTGTCTTACATTCTCCAGAAGCTATCATGTATGTTGTCTTAGGAGAGTTTACTCTGAAAGGATAAATAAATAAATAAAAACATAAATAACATAAATAAATAAATAAATAACATAAACATTTGCTGTCAATACATATCTTGATGTCATCCTGGGTGCCATCTTTTTATATACCACACCACAGCAACTGGAAAACAGCTTAGTCAATAGTTCTATACATATGATGGAAATCCTTCTCTAGGGAAACTTACCTTGAATTTCCTCTTGCTTTTATTCCCAGCATAAGATGAAAAGCTGCTCAGTCTTCTAGGTTTTTAATGTTTGGGTTGTTTTTAGATGCTGCTGTAGGTGTTCATGGAGATGGCCAATCCATATAGATAGCTTCGTATTAAGTAATATAGATCAGGTAAGATATTTTAAGTTTTCTTCATCATTAACAAGTCTTCTCTTTTTTTCCTTTTTAGTCAGTAGTACATGCAATAGAACTTCAGCCAACAGATGAACGTGACCGGCCTCTTCAAGACTGTGTGATTGCAAACAGCGGGAAAATAGATGTAAAAGAACCATTTGTGGTTGAAGTAGATGACTGGACAAGTTGACAGCAGAATGAGCAAAACAGCAACAGGCATCTCCTCTGGATCAACTCTGATAGACTATTAATCTAAAAAGGATTTTGAACAAATGGGATGAGCTGTCACCACAAACACCTGAAGACTCTGCTGTTGCCTTTGTCCTTTGGAGAAAGTAAAGGTGTCTAGGAGAGGTGGTTTAAATTCCTGTTATGGTTTATACTCTACTTTTACCAAAAGTATTAACAGCTCCCCTTTATCCTCTGGTCAAACTGACATTTCATCTTACTTATAAAATCTTTTGACAAATCTTCAGTTAATTAATTTATAAAACGTTTCCCATGGGCAATGTCAAAATAAGTAAGACCCTCATTCAGCACAACTTCTTTGATGTCACATATTGTGTGGCTTTCCCAGGGTTCAAAATCTGTATCTTCTGGTCATATTGCACAGCATTGTTTCCTTAGCTATCATCAAAAAAATACTTGTGAGCAATTGTCTTTCCAAATGTTTGCACTCTGGATATTATTAATGAAAATACCCACAGCCATTCCTGCACAAATAATGAACATATATATTTTCTCTATCCTATTAAATAATTGAGTTTTGGTTGGTTGAACTGCAATATATACAAAATGTCTACCATATTATTAAGAATTTTGTTACTCATAATGAGGCTCTTGTTTATTCCCTGCTATTTAGTACTACTTTATACAGACATTAAAACTCTTCTTGCTTTGTAAAAATATTGTCCAGTTTTTGCCATATGTCAGTAATTAGTTTTTAAAGGGTTGTTCCTATTCTTAGCACAAGGCAGCTATAATTATGACCCAGGTTGTAGAAAAATTATTAGAATGTGTTCACTGTTTTATTTATCTAGAAAAATGGAAGCTGGTAAGTGACCACTTGTTAGCAATGGAAGGTTTTTCTAATGTGGTCTTTATGTTTATTGGAAGCCTTCAGAAGCATTTCCTTCTAGATAGCTAATAATACTTCAGTGAGTATCTTTTTCAAAACAGGTTTCTGGAGGCAAGGAGTGGATTAAGTCATTTAACCTTTTGTCAGCACTGCCCTGGGCATGTGGACAGAAAGTGGAATAAAGAACCAGATTACTCTAATATGAAGCCTTGCCTTACAAATTGATGCCCTAAGTCCATTGTGCTAGCAGCGTTCTACCAGAAACACTTGGTTCTCTCCCCTAGGATTACTGTCAGCTATAATACAGGCTCCAGCTGTTCTGGGTTTCAGCTGCAACTTTACAATGAAAAAGAATAGCCATCTCAGTCTTGAATTTGACAATACAATGCACAGGTGGCTGAGGCCATGGGCTGAAAATTGCCCTCTCATCCTGGCTCCCAGCATCTCCACTCCCAGACCCTTTGTGTTCCTGATCCCACCTTTTGTGGATTAGTGACTTCCTGTTTCAATTAAATGTAAAAAAAATTACTGTACCCCAAAGTACAGAATTGGATGTGGAGAACAAATCATGGCTCCAGAATATTCTGGGCATGCAGTTGATCATTGTGGCATATTTTGGTCATAGAGCTGGAGGGAGGATGTGGCCTATGCAGAACCAAGGGAGGGAGGAAAATAGTCCATGAACCCTGAGAAGTTGCCCACGCCTGATGTACAATGCAGAGATCCAAGGAATGGAGCATAAGGATGGGCAAAAAAAAATTCAGCTGGGAATCATTCAACCTGAAATTGACTGAAAACTAATGCAAGTAAAACAGCAACAATTTTTACATAATGTTTTACTTTGGAATCCAACATCTTGCAAAACAGAGACATGTATTTATTTGGACAGTTGACCTCTGATGCATGATATCTTCCCCCCTCTCCCCAATTAATCACATTACTGCTTGTTTTCTTTTACAGAGTAGCACAGGTTAACTAACATGGGAGAGTTATGCTAAACAAGCATATTATTATCTGGAAGCCCAAGGACTGTAGCCAGGGCCTTGAAGTAAATTAAAGCAACTCTTGAACCTGGTTTCAAGCATATGAACATGTCCAATCCTTCTTCAGATGACACAGATATGATACAACACTGGAAATACTGATACAATAAGCTTATATTGCATCTCCATTTTTGGCAATTATTATCTAAATATTTGCATTATTTAGTCTTGCATGTGCTAGAATGTTGACTATCCACTGCCAGCAGTGGATGCTACAAAGGTTTAGTGTAGTCGCTTATTATATTAAAAACAATCAAATGACAAAGAGGTTAGTATAATTCAGTATATACACATCAGCTATTCTACAGTTTAAATATTTAGAGTTAAGTAGAATTAGTCTTCAGAGTAGTATTTCTTCTGTTCAGCTTTTTAAAAAAGCAGCAATATTAGTGATTCACTGATTTCAGAAAGGGTAAATGTTCCATTATTAAACGTAACTGTTGCCACATTCCACTCTTTAGATTTCCACTAAAAATCCAAATCGAGGAAGAGGTCTTGAATTTACTTCAGTTACTATCCATCCAAACCCATTTTCTACCTGGGCTGCAGGTGAGGATAAAACAATCCATGAAGAACACCTTCAATAACTACATTTGGAAAGTCATCTGGAAAAAAAGAGAAGAAAAACTGCTTTCTTACATATGTCAATACAATATAAATGTTTTTGTAGAACTTAACAAGGCACGGCCCAATGTAATTTAGGATATTGCATCACCACCATGTTTATCTATGCTCAGGATTGTGTTATTAGTAATGCTGTTTCAGCACTAAACCCACTTTAGTGTAGCAGTGGGCATTGCTTGAATGCACTGCCAGATTTGTAGCTTATTGATTTAAAGGGATGTTCTAATACTTAATGCTGCTAGGCTCCAGCTCTTTATCTGAATCTTTTCTCACAAGGAAGATGGATTACACTGGCAATCCAATTTCTAACAAAATCTCAATACACTTGAAGGAATTCCAAGATTTCTACAGGGAATACTTCATAGCAGTTTTTCCATTGCAGTTTACAGCAGTGTTTAGTCCAAGTTGACTGGAAGAGGTTTAAACCATCACACAAGCATCCCTACAAGCCGACAAGCATCCGGTCAACATAACGGGTTTCTTATATAAAGCCCAATCTAAAGGCCCCATATTGCTAAAACCAATTACAACAGCATATACACTAATTAAAATTAAAAACCTAACATGAAGAAGATACTCTCAGGTGAACAAATGAATTTTAAAAAAAAGAACATGTCTTTCTGCGTAGGGCTTAAAGCATTAATTGTATTCTCTGAGCAGTAAGGGCTAGCGTTTTCTCCTATTGGTATTAATTCTAGAAATATGTATTAACATAAGCAAAACACAGAGACCAAAACCAAGTTGCATTGTTTTAAAATACTGATGCATTTTTTTTTTTACTATTTAGCAGTTCAGACTTCTAAAAAAAAAAAAAGTATGATTTAAAACCAGGTTGCTTTTGGGTCATTTTGGGAGGGGGGTGCGGGTGGAAAGAGGAAAGGCCTTGAATTTAATAATTGTTCATCTGACAGTTAAAATTACTGATGGATAGCAGTTTAATCTTGAGAGGAATACAGTGCTGTGGTACTACCGTGCTTGGAAATAGGTCGGGGTGGCTCCATGATTGGAGGGGGAGGGGCAAGAGAGAAGAAGCTTTCCCCCAGCTTGAACTACAGGTCACGGATGACATATACAAGGGGAAAATAAAAGAGTGGCTTCCTTAATTATTCTTCCACCCCTAACAAAGCATTTCAGATTTCCCACCAACTCCTTCCTTTGCCCTTTTGTTGGAAGTGCAGGCCCTTTCAGGATGCTTAGATAACAACCGTGCAGAGAAACAAGACAAAAGTTGAGGCCTATGAAACTGCTGGGACATGGGACACAGTGCTTCTGCCTCATAGCATCAAGACCTTGATCTGGTCCTGAGGCTGCTGCAGGTGGTTAGCTGGTCACTCTTACTAAAACTGGCAGTTCCAAATTCAAGTTCACATAAAACAAATGGAAATGATAGCATTCAGGATATACCTAACATGTGGTGCCTCCTCTTTTGTTCTGGACATTTATATTGGAGACTGTGAGATGATTTAAACTCCTTGCACACTGCAGTCCAATCTGGGCTCTGCCACAGATTGGTGTTGGTTTAAAATAATAGGTTGTTCTGCATTATAATCCTGGCATTTACACACCATGTGTCACTTGGCTAAAAGCCTAATGAGATCAGGATGATCTAACTTTTCATAGGCAATTGTGCAGCAAAAAATTGTACCTATCACATTCTTTGCCCATTGATTTGGGAGGAATACTTTGGGAGGAAATCTGGACATATTTTAATGGCAGAGAATAAATATTTTTGATCACATCAGTTATCTGGGGCTGGACTTGATGATCCATAGAGTCCCTTCCAGATCTGCAGTTCTAAGATGATGACAATGATTATCTGGAACACTTACATCCCCATTTTATATTGAAAAGAATATATAAATAAATGAAGATAATTTTTATTCAAATATTTGTTTTCTCACTGTACATGTTATGATATTACCATCAATTCAAATATATCTTTTATGTTAGGGGAAGTGACTTCTTCAATAGAGCCTTAACACTGATGCTGGGCAATCATAATCCATTAATATTTTGACAAATTGCAATGTCAGTATTTTAGAATTTACCTCTTTGTAGTTTTTATTTTTAAGAGTGTTACCCCTTTCTGTAGAGAACCCTAATTTCTCAGCTATTATTTTAAACAGCCTTAAAAGAACAAATCCTGATGTGCTGCCAAATTAGAGTTTGGCCTCAGCATGTATTAATAACAACGTGGTTTTTGTGGTGCAGGGTCAGATCAGTAAAGAGCTGTTAACAGATGACAGGTTTGATTACCATTGGCTGTAGGCAAGACATATGGATCCCTTAGGAACAGCAGCACAGGCTGGTGGGACAGTTTGCTAGAAAGGTCAAGAACAGGAATGTCAGCATCAAGGGATAGTAAACTGAATACACTACAAACTAGCTTTGATAAAATGAAATGATGTAGCTGGTTAAGTATAATGCTTGTTTATATAAAGCAGTTTTATGGAAAAGGAGAAAGAACCCATCCTTGAGGAATAAAGGGTTAGATGTAACATGGCACTAAGCATATTTACTCAAAAGCAAATTCAGCCAAGTTCAATGAGACTTATGCCTTAGTAAATGAGCCTAGGAATACAACCCTAAGACTGTCACGGTTTTTATGTTGTTTGGTCTGGAATGATCCCATTATAAAGCAAGTAATACAAAACTGTAATTGTCAGCAACTTACAGTACAATGCCCGCCCCATTAAAAAATTTCAACATTAACTTGTTTCAACTGCTGGATTGCCTTTGGGTGTTTTGATCAGTTCAAGACTGTACATTTTTAACTGTTTCCCCCCTGTTCTCTCTCTCTCTCTCTCTCTCTCTCTCACACACACACACACACACACACAGCTGGACCATGTATTTATAGAAATGGAAGATTCTGCACTTGAAATTGCTTTACAGGACATGACTATTCAGGTCTACCTAAAGGCTAGTCCTATTGCATTTGATGGATTTAAGCATGTGTGCATAGAAGTGTAGCTCTCATAATTATCAATTTAGATTATATTGGGAGTGTAAGCTAGTCATGGTTAACCTCTCCCACTCATTTCAATGGATCTACTCCATGAATGACTTCATCGCAGATGACTCCATTTCAATGTGAGAAATTCCTGATCAGTTTAATTCAGATGGGTAGTAAATCTATAAATCTTGAAACAACAACTTCAGAACAGATACAAAATATTTTATTTTGCTGGAATATTACTAAACATGGTCTTTTAAAACAATCATTCCCTCGTTTTATTACAATAATGTTTACAGCACATCTACTTTCACTAGCATGGTGAACAGCTTACCTTGATTCTTCAGATTCTGTTTCTTCAAAAGAGCTGAAAAATAATTAACATAAAATTGGTTTTACTGATCTGAAATTCCTAAGCATATTGAACACACAAAGCCTATGCACAAAGAGCTGGAGTTTTTTTTACCATGCAAGATAAAATTCCATTTTACTATAGCTTTGTTTTAGCAGTGTTTCTCTGGTATAGGTTATCTTATATCAATGGTATAAGTTAACCATACAAGAGTTTGTTTTTGTGGGAAGAATCTAACCCTAGATTTTTGCTGGTGAAAAAATGGAACCCCACAGAAACATGCTCGTTCCCATTCAAATAAGTGCACATACAGATAATGCTCCTTCCACCTAACACAAATATGTCTGTCTCAGCAGGGGAGCTGAATTAATACATCTGGAGGCAATCACAGAAAGGGACAAAATGCTGAACTAAGACATTTAGAAGAAACTCAGTCTCATTTTAAGTATTTCCTCTGCTTTTCTATTGAAAATGATAAGACAATAATCAAATACAAGGAGAGAACATTCCAAAGCCTGCTTCTCAACTAAGAACATTTTACAAGCAAACAATGTTTTTTTCAAAAGGAGTCACTTGAGGTGGCTTGCAAAACTTTTAACAATGGCGCTTAAAAGTTCATATGCAAATCAACAAATAATTTTAAGTAAAAACCCAAGGAAAATCTTTCTAGTTCATCTGCATAGCTGAGCTACTGGAGCACCCCCTCCAATTTTTCTAACCACCTTCAAATGCAAATTCAACCATGATATGGAATTATATTTTACAGACTTGTGATGCCTAGTTTGAGCCGGTGAATTTGTATCAACTATCTTCACTGTAAGGCAGTGGTCCTCAACCTTGGGCCTCCAGATGTTCTTGGACTACCAATCCCAGAAGCCTTCATCACCACTTTGGCTGGCCAGGATTTCTGGGAGTTGAAGTCCAAGAACATCTGGAGGCCCAAGGTTGGAGACCACTGCTGTAAGGGACCAGGCATACATGAGTTGGATGCAACATTCTGAGATTTTTAGGTAAAAGTCTTACCCACAACTTTCTGCTTTTGGAAGAGAAGGGAAGTGACGAACGTTGAGGAAATCAAGAAAAATTTTAGGAAGCTCCTCATTTTCTAAAATAATACACTATAATAAAAACAAAAGGTCAAGATAATGCATACAGTAAAACAAACCATGCAATTGCCATTGTAGAAATAAAGAGGAGATGGCTTTTGTGGGAGGAAAGGTTCTCTTTTAAAAAGAGCTCCAATAACTAAAACCACTTCATTTCTAGTATCTGAAAGAGTCTCATCCATCACAGTAGCGAAGAAGAGGAAACCTCCAGAGGATGGGGGGGGGGCCTAGCTGGTTTCATTAAGGAAAGATTAGGAGCATGTTAACAAGGTGAGTCAAGCGTTTGGTTTGACAGATCATCTTACAATGCACTGGTTCATCTATACAGTGATAGTGACCTCTGAAATTCTCTGACGCAGAAACACCAGTCCTGTGTGTGGTATTCAACAGTACTGAGGCTAAGTGCTTAATTTTCATGAAAAATGTCTACTAAATCTATCAGAATTTGGTTAGAAAACTGTTTTTTTTTTTGGGGGGGCAACAGATTTAACACAAAGCGGGAGATAGGAACTCAAGCTTTCACGTAACTCATGTATTGTAACAACATTACCAAATTCAAATTTGAAAATACCAGTGATGGATTCAAAAGCTAGCTCCATCTTCTAACAAAAAAACCAAAGAAACAGAATGCATATTTTTGCTGGACAGATTATCAGGTTTTGACTGAACGAGCTTAGTTCAAATTCTGTTTAGTGAAGATTTTGCTCAACCAAATTTAATTCACAGGACTGTGAAGATGAAATGGAAAAATATGAGTTCTCTGGAAGAAAGGTAGGATAAAAAACCTGTTTCTTCTTTTTCTTCTTGTACTGTATACTACAACCACTATTAATGAAGAATAGATCTTTTACCAGGAGAGTAAGCTTAATATATATTCCGAAGCAAGGTATGCAAATATGGGTGCATATCCACAAAACATTCCCAGTTCCCACCAAGTACAGCTCTGCTATAGATGTCTATAAAGGTAAAGGTAAAGGTTCCCCTTGACAATTTTTTGTCCAGTCGTGTTCGACTCTAGGGGGCAGTGCTCATCCCCGTTTCCAAGCCATAGAGCCAGCGTTTGTCCGAAGACAATCTTCCGTGGTCACATGGCCAGTGTGACTTAGACACGGAACGCTGTTACCTTCCCACCAAAGTGGTCCCTATTTATCTACTTGCATTTACATGCTTTCGAACTGCTAGGTTGGCGGGAGCTGGGACAAGCGATGGGAGCTCACTCTGTCACGTGGATTCGATCTTACGGCTGCGTGGTCTTCTGACCCTGCAGCACAGGCTTCTGCGGTTTAGCCCGCAGCGCCACCATGTCCCTATAGATGTCTATAACCACCAAGAAATAGTGTTCTAGTAAATTGTAAGTATTCCATAGTTCACGAGTACTTTCATATGTTGATCTGTTAACATAGTGTACTTTATTGGTGATTAACTCCGCTGCCTATATAGCTTGAATGGAACGGAAGGAGAGTAAATGCCATTTATCTGGGACAAAAGTAAAACCAGTTAGGGAAAATAAATGAGACACAAAATACATTTGAAAAGAAGAAAATGCCCACATGAGTTTTCTTTTGTGATTTATGACCACGCTCCACAGCATCTCTTTTATGATCTGAAATCAGGATATTTCTATTTTGCCAGGGAGAGCCAATAAAGCCAAGCATTTATTACATCAAGATGGCAATAAGGGAAATGGATGGATGTCAGGTGCTTAATGAGGATACTTGTGATGAAGCTGAACCACCATCATGGCAACATTACTAAGCCAATTTCAGAGAAAGGAGACTACAGTTTTACACCATACTCCCATGAAAACCTAGACAACTGGCCAACGGCCAGCCTACCTATATTTTCTGTCAGTTCTAGTTAAAAAGGAACTTTTCTCATATCTGGGCAGATTGGAACAGATTTCTGCAATGTGAACATTTTCAAACATCCAACTAAGTAGCTCAGAGAAGGAAGCAGGCAGTTTTGAAGTAGATCTCCATAATTATATTCATTCTTACAGCTAAGACAAAACCTTGGGATTCAGGCAGGTACAAAGCCTTTCACTTCACCTTTAAATGAGAATTCTGCATTAAATGCCTCCTCTATTTGCATTTTGTAATATCAGCACTCTGCTGCTGTAAAATTCATCTCGCTTTGCATTCTAGTTGTCCATGGGAAGGGGAGGGTGAAAGAGGATGCAAGACAAAGGGTATGTGAATGGCATAACAATATATTCCAATCATACAAACAGAATTATGAGTCACTCATCTAGAATTTCTAGAAAAAATGTTTAGATATGAGTTTTGTCTGTAGGCCATTTAAGTTTACAAGAGCCAATATGGGCCACAATCTTGATCACTTCAATACCTCCTTTTGACTTAGTTCCGAAGTAACCCTGTAGCTTAAAATGATGTACCTGAGCCTTAGGATCATATGCCAAACCATCCTTCCTCCACTGTGGCTGTTATATTGGAAATTTTTGCTCTAATTTTCAGTTAACTGTGGTTTGTGATTAATCTTAATTATGGTTTAGGCCAAGGATGGGCAAAGTGTCACCTACAGGCTACCTACAGCCTCCTTCCCACCCTCGCCCCTGTATTCCTAAATCTAGGGAAATTATTCCTGTGAGGTCAATCAAAGTGCTGGAAGCCATCATCTTGTCCTATCTGGTTTTGAAAAATTAATTGTAGGGTCCAGTAACTAGTTAGTTTTGTCAAGCTCTGGCCAAACAAACATACTACCTATTTAAATATTGGCTTTTGGATTCCAAAGTTCTCACAGAAGATGTTTGAAAGTAATATGTGTTCAACTTGGCCTAGCTTGGTATGGAAATACATCACATCTGTTTACAGTAGTTTTAGACAACTTAGGTAAAGGTTCCCCTTGACATTTAGTCCAGTCGTGTCCGACTCTAGGGCGCGGTGCTCATCCCCGTTTCCAAGCCACAGAGCCAGTGTTTGTCCAAAGACAGTTTCCGTGTTCACGTGGCCAGCACGAGTAGACATGGAACACCATTACCTTCCCACCGTGGTGGTACCTATTTATCTACTTGCATTTTTTACATGCTTTCAAACTGCTAGGTTGGCAGGAGCTGGGACAAGCGACGGGAGCTCACTCCGTCGCGTGGATTCGATCTTACGACTGCTGGTCTTCTGACCCTGCAGCACAGAGGCTTTTGTGGTTTAACCTGCAGCACCACCATGTCCCTCTTACACAACTTAGTTGGCACAAATAAGAAGAATCAGTCGTCTTTAACATAGTTATCTAATTCATTGTGGACATACTGTACCACCCACAATATGGTAGGCTGGTGTCTTTTTTAGTTTGAAACTGAAGTCTAATTTATTATTACGCACATTTTATCTACTCAGTTTATTTGACTATAAATCCAGTCACTCACTCACAAAGAAGAGTGCAAAAGTATTTCTGTGTGTTACTTATTTATTATGGTCAATGACCAGGAACATAAATATACATTATTTAGATAAAATCACATAAGCAAGAGTATCACTTTGCTTGTGTGGGGAATTAAAGCAATGGTTCTATAGTCATTGGCACCTTCTTTCTTGGGGTCTGGAATGTACAATGAATGTTTCCAGTCTGTGGGCCATTGTTCTATTTTCCATACAGTGGGATCTCTACTTAAGAACTTAATCCGTATTGGAAGGTGGTTCTCAAGTTGAAAAGTTCTTATGTTGAATCTGCATTTCCCATAGGAATGCATTGAAAACCATTTAATCCGTATCTGCTCTTTTCCGTCCATAGAAACTACAGTGGAACCTCTACTTAAGAACTTAATCCGTTTTGGAATGGTGTTCTTAAGTTGAAATGTTCTTAAGTTGAAGCAAAATTTCCCATAGGAATGGACTGAAAACCAATTAATCCGTTCTGGCTGTTTTTTTGTTATGTAGAGGTGCGTTTGTACATTAACCAAAGCTGGTCAATACGTACTCTACCACTATGGGGAGAAATTTTTTTTAACCTAAGATGACCTAAGGTTAAAAAAAGAGCAGGAAAAGTTTTTTTTCCTGTTCTTATCTTGGACTTCTGTTCTCAAGTAGAAGCAAAATTTAGCAAATGGAGCTGTTCTTAAGTTGGATTGTTCTTAAGTAGGGACGTTCTTAAGTAGAGACCCCACTGTATTTCCTCCTTTCTAGTGCTTTCAGAGCAGCTTTCACTTCATTTTCTAGAACTTCAGATTCTTCATCAGATGATTTCTCTTTAAAGGAGTCTGCCATCCTTTTATCTCTTCTGTATAGGTTTTTGGTATATTGTTTTCACCTTCTCTTTTCTCCTGGTCAGATAGTGTCCTTCTCTGATGATCATTCAACATTCCTAATCAAGGCTTGAATTTCCCTTTGATTTTTTGGATTTTCTGGAAGAGACTCCTTGTTTTCCCCCTTTTGTTGTTCTTTATTTTTTTTGCAGTTTTCCCCCAATAGCCTCTACATTACAATCCATGAAAAGCTGTTTCAAGGTTCTAAACCTATTTCTGTCACCTTTTACTTTTGCTTCTTACCTTTCTTTTACAATTTTAAGTGTTTAATTATCATCCCGCTAAATTTTTTTCTTTTTACTAGACGAATTGTAAATGCATAAATATACAAAGTAACATGAATGATCAAGAAAAGGATTGGTAGGTTTCCCTAAGACTCCATTTGTTTGTTTATGGCTCTGCAGAAGTGGAAAATGGCGCTAGGTGCTACAGTGGATGGGTGGGCTACTGGTATACCAAAAACTTCACAAGTGCTACTGGGCAGAAACAGAAGAGCCATGGCTCATCCGAGTTAATGAATCTATCTTTCTGTAGCAGTGTTCTGTTCCAAATGAGCCTGCCTAGCCCTCCATTCCACTGACACCTTCTTCCATGTGAAGGTAGATTTTGATTTGTTGGAGAAAGAGAAGCAATTTTAAAATACTCCCATCTCGGCTTAGAGATGTAAAACTAGAATTTTGCAGAATGTATTTTTATTTATTTATTTAATTTATACCCCGCCTATCTGCTCAGAACGAGCACTCTAGGCGGCTAGAAT